ATGGGTGCTATGTACTGTGCGAAAGCAATCGATTTTGCAGGCATAAACTTTTGTACATCCCTCTTCTAAGAATTCCAATTGAATAGCCAGCTCAGGGCAATATGATATTATAAACACCAGCACATATCAGTCTCTGGTGTTTATAGCTTCAGAGCAAACAAAACACATCATTCATAACAGAAACAGCTCGCAATAGCCACAGGAACGTTGCTGCAAGACAGGCATATGTAACGACGACTTAGCGCTCTTAAACGCGTGTGTCATTAAATACAGTCCTCCTGACAACAGGCCAGTGAAAAATCTAACAATCTACAGCAAAACCATCAATTATTATGGGCGTTATAACATACGTGTGCAGCTGGACGAAACATACACGTCGAACCCCCCCAGACGATTTAAATCCCTGACGAAACATACACGACGAACCACGGCAACGGGTTAAAAGAATACTTTACTGGTATTACTAAACAGTGTGATTTGTACACAGATAAGTTTTGAAAACATCTTTTTTAAGAATATGATATAAGTCATATAAAATGGTCGTTTTTATTTGATTTGATGTAAGTAGCAGTTTGATACATGACCTGAACACACCTCCTTGGAACAAAAGAACTTGAAAACTCGTATATCATCGATGAAGGCGAAGGCATTATAATGATCTGCAGTTAAAAGTGTCTGTATGTAAAATGTTCAACCAAACTGCCTGAGTATTGTTACTTTATTTATATTGCCAGGTCAGGTATCTTTGTATAAAATACTTTCTTCATCCTGATGCATGGCTTTGGAATGTTCTGTTGCTGGAAGACGTTTCTTTGTGTTTGCCTGTCTGTATGTGAGCATACTCTCACATTCCTTATTTTCCCCTTCTTTTGTTAATCTCTGAAATATTGATAATTTGCATTCACTTCCTTTAGCTCTGTGCAGCAAGATATTTGTAGTGTTTGGTCTCGTATAAATTAATGTCAAGGCCAGTGAAATATGCAAAATAGCAGACAGTGCCTCTCATTGCATCATTATGTCCTATTTTTCATTTATGTTACCAGTGGAACATCTCAGCATATGCTATAGAGAAGCCACAATTTAATGATCCCTGGCCCTGCTTGTGTGAGAAACACAAACACCAACCTGGGCCAAAGAATGTAGTACTGTTGTCAGATTTCCATTTTGAGTCCAAATGTGAAAGCTTGCAAATGTAGCCAGGAACATCATGGTAGTATAACAATCCTTGCAGGTGGACTGCACTGGTAATGCACCTGGCTGACATGATTGTTGACCAGTGCTATTTGAAGGTAGAGGGAACTGAGCTCTGACACAAGGGATCATTAATTTGTGGCCAGGCCATAGTCCAGTGTAAGTTACACATACACTACATAATATGAATTAATGTATAAAGGGTGGGCCTTCTCAGCCCTTGCACCGTGACCTACCGTGGTCTATTGTGCTTTACACTACATCATAACTTGAAACAGTATTTCAGAACTCTAGATTGTATTCATAATTATTCACTACACTTGAATATCTGTATGCAAGATTATGCTTTATCTTAATATTTATGTTTATTAGTTTAGTTTATTGTAAAATTCCATTGATCCAATCTAGGCTACAAATACACCTGACGGATATAGAACCAGTCACAGACAAGTAACTAAACTACACATGCTATGAAAAAAGCATAGGTCAGATCAAACAATAAACCAAACTGTTTATCTTTCTATTTTAACATGAAACATAACATCTTAAATTTAATATTGTAAAAAAATCATCATACCAAAAGGTAGATGATAACATATTTATGCCAAAATAAGTCACCTATGATACATAAAATCTTAAAAATTCACATTAAAATTAGTAATTACTATTAAAAAGATCATTCAGTGAATAAAAAGAATTCAATAGAATGTAATTTTTTAGAGTATTTTTAAATTGATTCTTATCTTCAGTCAATTTTTTTGTGCAAGGAGGTAAGTGATTAAATGCCTTTATACCCATATAATAAACACCATTTTTATAGACAGACAACCTTTGTTGTGAAGGGTAAAAATTATTTTTACCTCTGGTATTGATATCATATAACTCTGAATTTGTTTTAAATAAGGAGATATTATCAGTTACAAAAATTAGGAATGAAAATATATACTGAGAATAAAATGGTAATATATCTAGTTTCTTTTAAACAACTCCCTACAGGAATCCATATTTCTGGAATTTGTAATAATTCTTATGGCCTTTTTTTTTTTGTAGTTTATATTGATACTATAAGGGGAATTCCCCCAGAAGAGTATACCACATGACAGAACTGCATGAAAAGAAGAATAGTAAATCATCCTTAGTGATTCATGGGACACAAAGGGTCTTAAAGGTCTAATAGCATAACATGCTTTGCTTAATTTAACCACAAGTCCATCGATATGATGCTTCCATGACAAGGAGCTATCAACAGTAATACCTAAAAACCGAGTATTTGTATTGTTAATAATATATTTATTATTATAACTGATATCTAATTGAATTGTTTGGCTATTAGTGGTTCTAAATTGTATATATTGAGTTCTGTTATAATTTAATGACAACAAATTGATATTAAAGCATTCATTCAACTGTCTGAAAGAGGAAATAATATCCTCCTTAAAATTTACTAAATTAGGATTGCTAACAATAATGCTGGTATCATCAGCAAACATGACTGGCTTAGAGTTATAATTAACTACTTTAGGTAGGTAATTTATGTACAAAAGAAAAAGCATTGGTCCAAGTCTAGATCCCTGTGGTACTCCATGTTTAATCTTCCCCCATTCTGAAGAATTATAAGAATGTGTTAATTTATAATCAATGAGGACTCCTTGATACCTATCACTGAGATATGATTTGATTAGAGCATATGCATTGCCTACAATTCCACAGAATTTCAGTTTCTTCATTAATAAGTCGTGATTAACGCAATCAAAGGCTTTCTCGAGGTCACAAAAAATACCTCCCACAAGTTCCTTATTATTTAAGGCCTGTAAAATATCATGTAGAAGTTTAAACGTTGCCTTTCCTGTTGAGGAATTGCTTCTAAACCCAAACCGTTCACTAGATAATATAGCATTATTTATTACATGTTTAGAGTGTCTTATATATATAATCTTTTCAAAAATTTTAGAAAAGGAAGTTAGTAATGATATAGGCCTATAATTTTTTATATCTTTATTGTCGCCTTTTTTAAATAATGGCTTAACCACAGAATATTTTAATCGTGTAGAGAATGAACCAGATAAAATTGACGTATTACAAATATAATTCAAAGGAGTGATGATAAATGGAGAACTTATTTGAAGGATTTTTACTGAAATTTCATCATATTCAAACGATTTTTTGGTCTTAAGGGATTTAATAATTTTTT